CCCTACTTTTATACACATTCTGTCATGTTATACATTTTTCTTAATTTTTTTTTTTCGTCCTTTTTGAGACCGGCCGCACCGCGCTCAGCCAGTGAGTGCTGTGAGCGCACCGGTCATCCCTATATAGGATCCGAACCCACGGCAGGAGCGCTGCTGCGCTCCCAGCGCCGCAATCTCCCGAATGCGCCACAGGCTCGGCCCAAATTTTTCTTAATTTTTAAAAATAAAAGCTGCCTTGTTTTCCACTGAGTTGGTATACCATAATTTACTTAACTATCCCCCTGTTAGGCAAATGAATTATTTCTAACTTGGTGCTACAAGAGAACCATACTGCAGTGGGGGCATAACCAGGACCAAACCAGCCTCCAGAGAGAAGGGGGAACAGAGAGACATGAGGACAGCCCTAGGCAGGCCAGCCAGGCACAGGACAGGCCTCCTGCCATGAACAGCATGGCCTCTGGGAGGAGGGATGGTGGAGCCTCTAGACCCAAGAAACCCAGGCAGAAGGCTCTCAGCTGGCAGCTGGTTGCACTTCAGGGCAGAGCCAATCTGCTGAGAGGGGTGTCTGTCACCTGTAGCTAGTTCAGCTTGAGAGTGCGAGCAGGAAAAAAATGTCTGTACCCTACTAGGGAGCAGGCCAAGAGTCTGATACCAGCCTGGCTGGGCTGTGTTAGTTTCATCGGGGTGGCAGGATAGGGGGCAGGGAGAAGGAGCTCAGTCTAGGGTAGGGGTGGCCAACCACCAACGCCCTTTCTTCATTATTAGAATATTTTCCCTTAGGATGTACTTTTACAGGAATGGGTCAGAGTCAAAGGGTATGTACATAGCCCCTCATTTTTCTAATTAAAAAAAAAAAAAAAATTGGGCCAGCCTGGTGGCGCACTGGATAAGTGCGCCGCTTGGGAAGCGCGGCGGCGCTCCCGCCCGAGGGTTCGGATCCCACATACAGACCGGCCGCTCACTGGCTGAGCGAGGTGCGGGAGCAACACCGAGGGTTGCGATCCCGTTGCCGGTCCCGGTCCGGTACGGGGGCAACACTGAGGGTTGTGATCCGTTGCCGGACACAGAAAAAGACAAAAGACAAAAAAAAAAAAAAATTAACAACACAAAAATAAAAATCCCCAAGGCACTAAGGGCAAACCATGTGGTCAGCTTCACAACCCAGTGGTGGAAAAGCTATGCTGTTTCCTAGGCTGTAGTTCTGCCCACAGAGTCTTGGGCAAACAAAAACCCGTTTGTTTGGCTCTCATCCAAAATGACTGATTGTTCAAAGTTATCTTACAGCTCTTCAACTATAAACACAGGCTTTAAAGTGGAACTTTATGAATGCTAATGCTTGCTCTTGTCATAAGCTCCATCATAGTCAGGAGTTTGGCCATTCAAAGTAAGAGAGAGAATATGTATACCATTTGGCAAGAAAAGTGGCCCCTGGCCCTCCCCTGTGGCAAGAAGGCCCTGCTATATAACCCTGGGACATTAAGGTGGCTAAGCCTTTGTGATGCTAACACACTCACTCAGCCAGGAGCACAACTGCATTTACAGAGATCTGAAATGCTCCTCTGAAAATTCTTTCCTTGTCCTGTAAGGGGCCTCTGACCCTGGCCTGGGCTGTGCTAATATCCTCCCTACCCTCACCTCCTTCCAAAATCCCTCCCCACTGACCTCCCCACTGACCTAACATGTATTGGTTGGTTTGTGGCTTGGTAAATATCATTCTATTGTCATTAAGTGCTGCGAGGTCCTCAGACACAGACTATCTTTTACACCCAAACTGCAATAAAACGCTTTCATTTTAATTGTATTATTATTGGCCAAGTTGAGGGCTTCCTTGGGAAAAATAATTGACTTTACTTGAAACTAGACCAAAAAAGCTTCCCTTCTTATCTCTGTAAGCTCCATGAGGGCAGAGAATTTGCCTGCCTTGTTCAGGTCTGTGTCCCCATTACCTAGGAAGATGTCTAGCTGAAAGATACAACAAATCAACTAATCAATCTGCAGGTAATCTTCTGGCCCCCCTATTTCTGTCTCTCACGCTCCTTTCTGGTCACTATTCACTGGATAAATCTATAATCAAGTGTCTTCATAAAAGTTTCAATTTATTCATTAAACCAGAGAGTTAGACTGAGTTTGACCACATGGATTCCCAGGGCTATTTGGCAGCTGTTTATGCGGAGGGAACATGGTAAAGTTTGCCAGAAACCATGTAATTTCAGAGCTTTTGTGCCCCTCCTTCAGTGGTTCAGCACATGGTAAAATAGGAGTTTGTTTAGCAGCACTAGACTTTGCTAACTAGCAAGCGGCTGGCTTCTCTCTGAGCCTTCAGTTGGCTCTGGCTAGAGGGGAGGCGAGCTACCGGGACGAGAAGCCACAGGGAGGAGATCACTGAGCAGGCGGTTCTCTAGACTCCACTAGGAGGGATTTACCAGAAACACGAACTCCTGTGTGGCCCCTGCAGAGGCAGACGAGCCCTCCCTGCTCCACCTTGGTGTAATAGGAGGCACGCACGCTGGCATCATCCCAGTGAGAAGGCTCATCACCCTCAAGCCTTGGCAGGAAAAAAAAAGGTTATACTGGTTTAAAGTAAGGTACTATCCTTCATTCATTCAGTAGATCTGGTTGGAACGTTGAGGGGACCTAAGCCCGAGGCAGCCCCAGCACACACAGGTGTCTCTCTGACCTGCCACCAGTTCCTGTGTGTAGAACTGTACCATCTTAGCCCCAACATTAGTTCTCTGTGTTCCAGAGAATAAAGTGGCTGCTTTTTCTCCTTATTGCATGAGGTTGATGTGATAATAAGTAATGACGTGAGACCTCTTTGAGGTCTCAAGGAAGGGGATGTGTAGACTAGGTCTGCAAGATGTATAGCACCTCATAGATTCTAGTTTCCTAGCTTCTTGAACATTCTTTGCCTTAGTTCGAACACCTTAGTCCACTAACTGCGCTGATCATGTGCCCTTGCCAACAGCAGATGGCGCTACTGCAGCAAAATGAAACGAAGCTGTTCTTTTAAGATTTTTGTGCACTGAAGAAAACCAAAAACAAACTATCTTACATCCTCCTACTTATCAAATCCAGCACTCTTTGAACACAAAGTCAGTGTTCAAAGCAAGTCCACAGCAGTTGGTTAAGAAAGAGAATTTAGTGATTCCAATTTTACGGATGATAGAAGGCTTGCCAAACATTGGAACAGTTGTCAGGCGAGAGCAGGCAAGGGCCTCATGCCTCCTGGCTCCTCCAGGCCCTCACTCACTTCTTTCTTATCTCAGTGACTGGGCAGGATGGGACTTTGGTTAATTCTGGTGACATATGGCTATGAATATTTCTATTCAAGCAAGATAAAGGAACATGTCCTTTCAGCTGCCTCCTCAGAATGTCCAGGGTAGTGAAGGGGAAGATTCCCAACAGGAGGACAAGGGGATTAACCGAGACCTGGAATGCTAGGGTTGGAGAGACCACTGAGGTCATCGAACCCAATGACAGCTAAACATCAGCAGTCACCTATGAAATGGGTCAAAAATGCAGATTCCTGGGGTCCCATGCTTTAGACTTCATGAATCAGAATCTCCAGGGGTGGAGCCCAAGAAACTGAATTTATTTTTAATGTGATTCTCCCAAACGATTCTTAATGAAGTGAGACAGTCGCTAGTTCACCAGACTGGTCTATTGGGATCCACTGATCTAACCCACCTTCTTCATTTTAAATTGATTAATAATGAGGATATGAGAACAATTAACAGTTTCTAACTTACTTTCTATGTGCCAGGCACTGTTCTAAGTACTTCAAATGCATTAACTCATTTGACCCTCACAATGGCATTACTGAGGTAGGTACTATTTTTTATCATCATCATCCCCATATTGCGGATGAGGAAAACTGGAACCCAAACCTTGGCCCTAGAACTCCAAAAAGGCTGTTTTTCATGCCTTCTTTAGGGTACATTTAGATCCTCCTTTTTGGCCAGTTTTAAGCCTCATAGGAAGGGGCTGAATTCTGGGCCCACATTTGCCTTTGGGTGTGCTGGCTTCAAATACCAGAAATATATTTTTAGAAATAATATAGATAGCCTCTATCCATCAGAAAATAGCAAAATAGGTTTAAACTGCAGGGTGAGAGATACAGGTAAGGCAAAAAGGAAGGATTCTTTTATTAATTATAAGGGCTGTTTCGTTTTAGACAAGGGAGTTTTTTTTTTTACTTTCTTATGCGATTTTGGATTTCTTCAAGAGATCTTTAATAATTGGCCATACCTATTTGTAATACAAAAGACATTATCATGAAGAGAGTGCAGGAAAAAACATGAATGCATTTGAAAAGTCTGGAGAGATGTGTGTGTGAGTTAGTGTGTGACTTGAGATAGAGCCGGGACAGCACTCTCTTGAGGGGGAGTCAGAGCACATGACCATGCCCTCCTAGGACTCATCCTGCAGGGTGTCTGTTAGCAGGAGACTAAGGGGTGAGATAAAGCTTTATTCACTAAGTCAGCTCCTTTGTGATGATGTCTGGGAGGCCTACAAGAGATGAATACTTGAAGGTGAGGGCACTGGTTAAATGATTTCTACAGATCTCTTCCAGATGCCATCTGAAACTCAACTCTCCGGCAGATAGGAGGAATTTGGGATCACAAGGCCCAGCTCTCAGACCCTGGGTTTCCAGTCCCCCCTTTTCTTTCATAGTTCTGGAAAACTCTTGAAGCATCAACAAATTGAGTCACCTCACAGAGAGTCCCTAGGGAAACAGCAGCTATCAGGGGGGCTTTGATTTATCCAATTACAGATCTGATCCCAAAATGCAGCTGAAATCCCAGGCTTAAGGGGTCTGATAGCACAACTGCAGCATATGATGTGGAAGCAAAACAAGGTGAGTCCCACACTCAGAAACTTCCACTTGGTCTGCCACAGTGTCCCCCTGGTCTTCGGTGTCTGGTGCACTGGGGCATCTCAACAATGAGTGCTGACTGGAGGGCCCAATGGAAGGAAGAAGTGGGGTGCAGATGACTTACCTCAGTGCACTGTACCCCTGGCACACACTGACACAGCACAGGACCTTCTCTTGGTTTGCCTGAGTCTCCCCCAAGTATTTACATACGATGTTACCACCCAGGCTGAAGCCTACGACGACTAGCTGGGTCAGGGGATAGGTCTTCTTGATGTAGTTCACCATGGCTCCAAATTCCCACGTGCAGCCTGTGGGCAAAAGAGTAAGGTCACTCAATCATTTTAGGTACAAGAAATATTGGAGAAAATGTGAGCTGAGGGTTTACTAAATGGGTGCCAGTATACTAAAGAGAGAGAGAAATACGTATGTATATATTTGTGTGTGTGTATGTGGAGAGAAAGAGAGAGAGTCAGATAGACAGACAGACACTACTCTGGCTTTCTGGAGAGAAGTTTCCAGGTGCCCCTTGGAATTAGAGAAAACAACATAACAGTAGAGCCCATGAGTGTTGGTGCCATCTATCAAACAGGTGTCACAATGCTTCTTTCAAGGTAGGTCATGAGAAACCTGTCTATATGCTCCATGGAAATCGAAAGATATTCAGGTGTGTATGAGCACAAATGTTCACACACAGATTAAATAAAAGCAAGAGCAAAACCCTTTGAGATTAGCTTATTTGTTTACAATTAGTATACAATGATTCATGGTGTTAAGAAAAGTACCAAGTTGATGTTATTTACAGGATCTTCTTGTCAGCATTGGGGAGGGAAGGAAAGACAAACTTCAGTCCTGAGGGACAGCCAGCATGCTCTGTGGATTAGTGTAAAATGCTCTTGGTGACGTAGGAACATGGTGCCAAGGGAGGCAGACCCATTCAGAAATACACAGAGGAGGCCTCTGAACGGAGAGGGTAGGGTGTTTGGGCCTAGTTTGTTCAGGAGGGATGATCGCAGCTGGTGTTTGGGAAGTTGTTGTAGCCATGTTATGTCTCAGCAGCTTTAATAAAAGGTAGGGGTTAATGGCCGCATGCTACAACATGGATGAAGCTTGAAGACATCATTCTAAGTGAAATAAACCAGTCACAAAAAGATAAAAAAAAATAAAGCTGGAGGCATTACACTACTTGACCTCAAACTATATTACAAAGTAACACAAACAGCATGATACTGGCAATAAAAACAGATACCCAATGGAACAGAATAGAGAACCCAGAAATCAATCGACATGTTACTGACAGCCAGGCTTGGTTTGCCCTCTCACACTAAACAAATGAGGATCCTAGAATAGTCAAATTCATAGAGACAGAAAATGGAATGGAGGTTGCCAGGGGCTGTGGGGAGGGGCTGTGGGGAGTTGTTTAATGGGTATAGTTTTTGTTTTGCAAGATGAAAAGAGTTCTGGATATTGGCCGCAACACAATGTGAGTGTACACTACTTAAAAATGGTTAAGATGGGAAACTTTATGTGTATTTACTTGAAAAGGCCAATCTAGATTTCTAAATTTTTCTCTAAAGCAGTGTTCTTCAACTTGACTGTACATTAGAATCACCTGGAGATCTTGCAAACTAACAATAAACACTAATGTCTGGGCCCTCCCCAAACTAATTAAACTGGAATGTCTAGGAGTGGGACCTGGGCATGAGTGTTCTTTGACAAGGTCCTCAGGTGATTCCAATGTGTGACCAGGGCTGAGGGCCACTGCTCAAAGGAACAAGGCTCTCTCCAGCTCAGACTACATGAGCAACATGAGAAGCCATTTTGTGAGGCACCCTCTCTTCTGTTTCCGAGCCACCCTTTTCAGACTTCCTTCCTGACTGCAGTAAGCAACCTTCACAGGTGGGGGCGCTGCTCAGCCTTTTGGAAGCATCTGAAGCAGAGCTTTTAGCTTGGTAGAAGCTTTGCAAACATTCCTCAGGGCAAGGTTTCTGCAGGGGGTGAATCCCCACTTCAGCACAACCAGGCACTTCCTCCAGATCTATCAAACATCCAACAAAAATAAAATTTAAATCCCTAAGTACATACAATAGCTTTCTGGTAATCTTTCTTATAAAGAGTAAATGGAAAAGCTGCATGGAGGTTAAATATCACTGCAAGAATGATGCTCTAGCCCATTCAAAACTTGTTCAGAATGCATTTTCTTGGGCCCTACCCCAAACCTACTGAACTAGAAACTCTAGGGGCGGGGCCTAAACAGAGGGCTTGTTAAAACAGAGCTTGCCCAGCCCCACCTGCAGAGTTGCTCATTCAGCAGGTATGGGTGGGCTGATAATTTGCATTTCCAACAAGTTTTCAAGTGATGCTGATGCTGTTGGTCCAGGGACCACACTTTGAGAATCACTGTCGTGGCTGACAGAAAAGGTGGATGAAATCCTTAATTTTTTGTTTCATTTGTCTTTTAAAAGGGCAATTCAAAAAGATGCTTCATGTTACTCATAGTTAAATAAATGCAAACTAAAATGACAATTAGAAATCATTTTCCGGGCCGGCCCTGTGGCTCACTCGGGAGAGTGCGGTGCTGATAACACCAAGGCCAAGGGTTCGGATCCCACATAGGGATGGCCGGTTCGCTCACTGGATGAGCGTGGTGCTGACAACACCAAGTCAAGGGTTAAGATCCCCTTACGGGTCATCTTTAAAAAAAAAAAAAAAGAAATAATTTTCCACTGCCCGTATCAGACAAGACCCATGAGTTTGCCAATACCCAGGACTGGGGAGGGTGTGGGCAACAGGCCTGTTGTCTATCCACTGATGAGGAAATGCACAGTGATATGGGCCTCGGAAGGCAATGTGGTAACATCTGTGAGCGGTCTTCAAAAAGTTCATGGGAAAATTTGTATTATCTTTTAATTCTATTTTTTCCATGAACCTTATTATTATTTTTTTTTCTAGGAGGCTGGCCAGTAAGGGAATCCGAACCCTTAGACCTTGGTATTACAAGGCTGTGCTCTAACCAGCGGAGTCAACCAGCCAGGCTCCATGAACCTTTTATTTATTTACTTATTTTTATTTTTATTTTTTTTTAAAGATGACCGGTAAGGGGATCTTAACCCTTGACTTGGTGTTGTCAGCACCACGCTCACCCAGTGAGCAAACCGGCCATCACTATGTAGGGATCTGGACCCGTGGCCTTGGTGTTATCAGCACCACACTCTCCCAAGTGAGTCACGAGCAGGCCCTCTCCATTAACCTTTTAAAGTACCCTCATACTAATGTTTTTATTTTTATTTATTTATTTATTTATTTTATGTGACCGGTAAGGGGATCGGAACCCTTGGCTTGGTGTCGCCCGCATACTCTCCCAAGTGAACCACGGGGTCGGCCCATACTAATGTTTTTAAAGTACAAACCTTTGGTCCAGCAACTCCACTTTTGGGGACTTTATACTGTGGATTTACTTGCACATGTATGCAAAGATGTGTGTGCAAAATGTTCACTGCATCGCTGTTTGTAGCAGCAAAGGATTGGAAACAACCTAAATTTCCATCAGCAGAGGACTAGTTAAATGAAGCACTACACTGCCTAGAAAAAGAATGATGTAGTGTTGGCTGACATGGAATGACTCCTGCCATCTTACTGAGGGACAACAACAAGGATGGAGCAGAGGGTATGGCACCACTTCATGTGTGTACTTAGGTTTTAAAGGGATTATATGTGTGCATATAACTGATCGAATATTCACTGAAGAACTGTAACAGACATTGATTTTCTGGAGAGGAGGACTGGGGGTCTGGGGTGGGAGAAAAACCCAGTTTCACTATATAGACTTTTGCACTGTTTGAATGTTTTTACTATGTGCATACATTACTTTTCCAATTAATATCTAGCCAGTTTATAAAAATAACAAAAAATATAGAATTAAAAAAAAACAAACCAACCCCATACTGGCCACCTGTCCCCCCTGCCCCTGCAAAAAATAACAAAGAAAAGAGATGTTTAAATCCTCTTAGTCCAGTTTCAACTATGCTAAACACATGGAACATATCACTTGTGCTGGCGCAGTGGTTTGTGCTGGTGACATTATCTGCCTGCATAAGAAACGGTACTGAGAGACTTATTTTAAATTGTTACTAAAATCTTTACTTCTCTACCATTTCCTTGAGTTTCTGCCTAATTTTGTCATTCCTTGGCTAATTATTCATATCTTTATGTTTTGTTCTAACATAGAACGAGCCTCTATTAGATGATAAACTCTGCAAAGCAAAGATATTCTTGGTCTTGTTCACCATTGTATCTGTGAGGCCAGGTGCTTCGTGGGCACTTAATAACGATTACCTAAATGAATGGACAGACGAACAGATGCACTATGTTTCAGGCTGTCTGCTAGGAACTTAAACACAGATGAGGAAGCAGATTTAATGACATGAAAAGACTTGCCCACCCCTCACATAGTGAGTAAGCAGGAGCACTGAACTTCAGACCCATGCCTAACCCCAAAGCCCAAGCCCTTTGCCTTGTATCACAAATCTACCTTAGCACTGCAGGGATTTATTGTTTAATTATAAGTCTAACTTTCTCCCCATCTGATCCGTTTTAGACCCATTTATTTTTACTCGGGTTTGAGACTAATTATTTGAGACCTGGAGCATATGTTCAGAAGTCACTGGGGCAGTTACAAAACTTGGATTTGCCACACTACTAAGGAGCAATTACGGCTAATTATGTAGGCACTTTGAGAGCCTCCATTTAATTAAATCCAAACACATCTGATCTGGATAAAAGACCAGCCCGGCCTGATGCTGGACAAGCTGTTGAGTCTTCTGTGAAGAGCTGCCACCTTTCCCTGGCAAGGGAAGGAGAAAGACACGGAGTCCTCCTGGGATCTCCAGTTGATGTCAGTTACCAAACACCCCCAGTGACTGGGAGTGCCTCCCTGGCCTGTTTTACTGAGAGCTACAGTAATCTGTTTTTTAATACTAGGAGGATCTTAATGAGGTTCTATGTATTTAATCCTTACAGGATTAGCACCAGTAACAAGATTTAGATAATCTTGCTGCCGCTTTTTAAAGACAAGATGAAATATGAGACACTAGCCTGGCCTTAGAGAGATGAGTACTACAGGTCCATCTTGGAAAGGCAGCCTGCTGAGAGCAGGAAAGACCCCTTGCCTTTTTCCTCAAGCCCCCACCCCTAAAGAAAGACAAGGCAAGGGCTGTCTGAAAGCCACTACTTCAAAAGCCATTTCCCCAAATGACACTAACATGACTAAGTAGACTAAATACAGGGACTCACAGACTTGGTGTTCTTTGTG